GCTGGCCTCTAGTGGGAGTACATCTAGCATTGTACTTGCATACAATCCTGTATTTTACCTTTACATTTCAAGAATCATGATTCAAATAAATTCTTTCAAAAGTCAAGTATTTATACAAAATCACCCTACCCCAAACCATACAAAAAAGGGACCTACCCTACGCATCACCCCCATAGCCTAAACCTTGCATCTCTCTACTCTCTCTCTTTATTATCTACCACCAACTCCGGTCTCCATAATCAATGTCGGCCACCTCAAGGACAGTCGTACCCTCGCCAACTACAACATCTAGAAGGAGAAATTTTAATGGAAGTTGACAGCACACATGCTCTCAAACCCCTCGATCTCAACTCGCAACTGTCTTGTACTTCTATGAATCATTCGGAGTTTCAAAGCCACGAGATGTTGGAGAAGGTTCAAATGACAGTAAATGTTCAGGAACCGAATAGTGCTCCAGCAGGTGTTCCGACGAAATGCCCCTTGAATGCAGCCATGAGAGTATAGAAGGTTTATCGGGGATATTGTGGTGGATTGGATTTTAGTGTATTGTATGTGCAAGTGGCTTGTTTGGGGATTTTGTTTGTGGGGGTGGTGGTTGGTGGTGTGGGGGAGGTGGAGGAGATGATGGAGTTGATGAGATGGTGGTGGTGTTGCATCAGTGATGGTGCGGGTGTGGTTGGTTGGAGTTGTAGGGGTGGTGGTGTGGTGTGGTGTCGTGGAGGCGGTGGTTGTTGATGGGCGATTGTGGGATGGCGATTGTGGTGGTGGTTCTTTGGAGGTGGTACTGTCTGTGAAGTTGGGTGGGATAGATGAATGAAAATTTGTGACTAATTAATTTGATAATTGTCATCAATTAATTTGTTAATTTGTGATCGAAAAATATGTTGTGATCAATTAATTTGATAATTTGTGATCAAGAAATAAGTTATAATTTATGATCAATTAATTTAATAATTTGTAGTCGATAATAAGCTGTGATTTATGACTCGCATTTTGTGTATTTATGATTGTACTATTCTGTGATTGTAATTATATGTTACCGTGACATTAACTGTAACCATAACTGATATTTTGAAAGAATTTTACAAGTTCGTCATTTTTTTTGAATAAAAACCCATATATTCCAAACAACATAAACTGGATACAAGGAGATAAAACTCCTACACAATGCTCTCCTCAGAGAGGTTCAGTGCAACCCAATGCAGAAGAACATACATCACAACAAATAAGAAACAAAAAACAACCAAACAAGACAAAACAATAGGAGAGGACGCCGGCCGACAGAGGATGGAAAACTGTCTGGGGATGAGCCAAGGGTGAAGTAGAACCAGCAACACCAAAATTCCTTCAGCCGAACACCAGAACCGCACACAGGCTGAGGCTTGAAAATAGTAGCTGAGAACCAAACCTGAGCTTGGACAGGAATCTCGCCGGAAAGGAGAACCTGCTCACCCTCACCCAGATAAAGCCACAGCAATAGAAAGACATCTGAAACTCAGGTCCAAACCCACGCCATCAGCAGAAAAAATCGGCATCAACCAGCCTCACACCGCCACCACAAACCCATAGCAGACCAAACACTACCAACCAAAACAACCAAACCCAAACCTCAACCGGCAAGAAACCGGAGAGGGAAATCCTCCACCAACCGAGGCCAGAGAGGGAACCACCTCCTGTTGAGTTGTGTGGAGCCTGACTATACTGGACACCCAGCCACAACTGGCGAAAATTCACACAATGGTATTTTGGGTATTTTCATTGTATTAGGGTTTTTTCTCCTTCTGACTATATATATGTTATTTTATGACATATGACTTGTAAGCGAAATTAGTAGTCGCCCAACTACTGTATTGTGATTCCTCAAGAAATAAAAATTTCTCTGCAAATCCGTGTGTTTATCTTTTACTGTTATTGTCATCTTTTTCACAACACCTCTACTGCCCGAAGACGGGGAGAAAGAAACTAGGACTCCGAAGAGCCTAGAAAGAACCTTACCTCTGCAACCAGAGGGAGGACCGGACAAAACCAACACCAAAATAGGTTGCTAAAATAAAAACGGCGCCGGAAGGAGGAGCTGCAGATCGAAAACCTAGGTTTTAGGGAGAGAGGGGTTTTTTGGGGGAGAGGCGTTTTGTCAAGTTCACAACTGAGGAAACTACAAGTTCGTCATTTGAAGATTGGTGGTGATGTATTTTCCCACTTTTTGAAAATTTCCAAACTAGCACTAGAGCCCAAAACTTAAAGTTTTGGTAAATGGACCAGGGATTGGGCCAATCTGTGTTTTTGAATCGCTTTTCCTTGGGAAATGATGTTCTCACTGTGGCACAAGTAGCCTACAAGGTTAACTTTTGTTTATTTTTAGAAAGAAACGTCCACTCATAAAATTATCTGAAATTTTCTTTTTTCAAAAATCTTTAATTTGTACCCCGTCTCCCTACGCACTTGTTACCAACCATCTTTGGAAAATTGGATCAAACAGGTTGTTTTATCTCGAAAAGTTGAGAGATCAGTTCAATACCGTTTCACTAATAGATAAAATCGAAAAAATAAAAACCATTTAACATACATCATGTCGCTAGTTCACTTCGAATTTTTTTTTCTCTTCGGTCAATTTAGACATGACCTTTAGGATTTCGATCAAATAAAATGACAAACAAACATCTTATAATATTACGTATCGGAAACTTCAATCAAAATCCCCAGCTGAATCTTATTGGTTGAAACCAACACTATCTTGTTTAAAGAAGAAAGTTTTATTGGTTGAAATAGTCGAAGAAATATAGGGGCAAAAGCCAAACATTTTTAAGTGGACAATACTTTAATCAAGAATAACATTACTATTTCTATATAGTTTATTATAATTATTAACTCTAAGGTATGTGTGTGGTCGATGAGTAAAGATGGCCCATTATAAATTATCGTCATCAACAACTATCAGTAATATCAAATATAAGCAACGAGATCAAATTATGTCTTACAAGAGAAGGAAATGAGAGAATCAGATAGTAAAGTCTCTCAAAAGCCAAAACCAAATTATGTTATCCACATGATCAGACGAAGCGTTAAGCCAATCGAATACTCCAGAACCCCTCATCCAATGGCCACCACAAGTCCACATGTCACCATCTTAATAAAAGCCTCCACTGATAAAATCGCATTTCACAAAACACACCTTCTTCAATTTTGGTAGCACGCAGCGCACATGTGCACATTTTAGCACACGTGTGCACATCTTAACATATGTGTAACATTTTCTTTTTATAAGATATAAAAAAATTATGCTAAAATATATCACGAAAAAAATTCATGTACTTTGCTTTTCAATGCAATGCAAGAAGTGTGTAGCCATGTTTTCAAATCGAATTAAGCCATGTTGCTAGAAAGAATTTGACATCTTGGATGACCTACTCTCACATGTGCATGGGCCCTACATGGGACCCACATGAATATAAAATGCAAAAAAAATCCCCCCCACCCACACCCAACAGTGAGTGTATGTAACCTAGGGTGTCAAATTCTTTCTGGCACTCTAACATGATTGTTTCAAATCAAAAGGTGTCGATTCTATTGACCATGCTAAAATAAGAGAAAATTTCAGTGGAAGTCAGTTAGTTTACTATTTTGTTGTATTATGGTCACTAACTTCAACTTCTTCCAATTTTAATCACAATTTGTATTTTAGTTTCAATTTCATCACACAACTTATATCATCATTTCAATGACTATTACGACTGTAAACGTTATCAAAACTAACGAAATTCACAATGAAACTAGCAATTTGTCTCACGAAACATGTGCTATACTTTTATATATAACTTAAAATTCGTTTTTTTTTTTCCCAAATTCATTTTCAATAATACATTTCATAAGACTCGCAATTTTTAAACTTTTCAATCATACATTTTATCAATTTTTATCAAAAACTACAAAAAATTTAATGAAATTTGTAATTTTAATACCAAAAAATTGTGTTATCAAAAAATAAATTGCATGAATTACGAACTTTATCAGTTTTATTAACAATTATAGATGAAATGGTAGAATCGATATAAATATATAAATTAGATCATCAAATCAAGACAAATTAAATTTTAATAATCAATACAAACAAACGTGCGACTCGAGTGTTTTCTTGTGAATAATTCCATTCAAAAGTTACTATGTAACTATCAGAACTTTTATGTTCAAATCGTTAACTTATTAAGCAGAATGCATAATGGGAAGACGTGTACCCTTTTATCACTTTTTGTATGTGAAGTGTATGTACGTAGAGATAAAGAAAAATATCAGGTTTGACTGTAGCGCTGGTGGAGATTTACGCACCAAACAACCCATCATTAGATTCGTGTTCACCTTCTTTACCTTTTCCCCACCACCAACGCCAATACATACAATCCAATTGTATCCATCTTAATCTTCCCCCATTATTAAAATCCGAAACCCCAGATTCTTTTCCCCTTCAAACAAACTCTTAATATTTCCCCTTTCGTCTTCCATTGGGTTTCTGTTTTATCTAATAGAAGATTGAAAACAGCAACTGTTTTTCGACTTTTATGCATCTGTTATGTTGAAGATCAGTCATTTTGATAAAAAAGATTAGATTTTTTCCCTTAAAATTTTGATTTTGGGATCTCTATTTTGAAGGGAAAGGAATTAGACTTAATATGGGCAATATTGGGAGTAGTGGGGTGCAAGGGCGGAGGAGGAGTTCGAGCAGGCGGAGCCACCCACCTCCGCCACCTCCTCCTCCTCCACAGGCTCCGCAACCAGAGATCACAGCAAACAGGTATGTTTTCGCGGCAGCGACTCCGTACCCTACATCCCAATACCCGAACTCCAACGTTCCTGGTTATTACCAACAGTACCCGGGGTACTACCCGCCTCCACCGCCCTCGATGCCGGTGCCTCTTCCCGCTCCTTATGACCACCACCATGCGGCTGCCAACGCCAATTGGGTTAACGAGCGGTACCCGTATGGGCCGCCGCCCATGATGCAGCCTCCGGCGCCATACGTTGAGCACCAGAAGGCGGTTACTATTCGAAATGATGTTAATTTGAAGAAGGAAACTTTAAGGATCGAACCTGACGAGGAGAACACTGGGAAGTTCCTCGTTGCTTTCACTTTTGACGCCACAGTGGCTGGAAGGTATGATAAGATTTGTATGTATATTCTTCAATTTTTTCTTCACCCAATTTTAGTTTTTGTGGATTTTTCGGTCATCTGATGATTAAATAGTAGCCAAGAATTAAGATTCGATTATAGAATTGGATAACCATGAGCTGCTGAATGAATTGGAGAGTATTATATGGATACAAAATTCTATGAAAATATTTAAACACCAGAATTTTCGACTTCTTGTCATGTTTTCCTGGCAACTTTGATAATATATGAAAATGACTTCATGAATTCGCTTATTTATGTTAAGAATCTATTTTATATTGTGATGGAGTACTAGTTCTAACTTTGAGTGATTTGTTTGTGTTTGGTAATGACTTCTATTGTGATCTGATAGACTGGGAATGTTTGTGTTGTTATGACAAAGAAAATAAAGTTTGTTGATTTGTGCTACTCATTCAATATGACGAATTTTTGTAGGAGAATATATTTTCCAAAAACTGAAAATAGCTCAAATGTTAACTGAGCCATATTTAATCCTTTTGTTATTTCCTTTCAAGGTAAGGGGTTTATGGATGTTAAAGGATGAATTCGTGTTTGTGAGTGCTTATTTGATGAGATTCTTAATATCCATTCTCCTTAAGGGCTAAATAAATTAAGTAGAGCCCCGTCGTTCTCTGATATCTTGGTTTTGCTTGCTGTTGTTCTCAGCAGTAATTTTAGTGTCAAGCACATGTTGGGTTTAACATGCACTTGTTCATTTGCATAATTGGAGATAATTGGTTTTGCACTCATTCCAGACCTTTTAATGTGTGAATTGGTTACATCACACTGCTTCTTTGTGAGCTGAGGCTGACACGGATTGTGATTTGGAGTCATGATGTTTTTAATTTGTCTTTTGGTAAGTTTGTGTTTAATTCACTTAACTAAGAATCATAGTCTGAAGCAATAGTTTCTTCTAAGCAATCAATTGGAATGACAATGAAGATAATATTGATGCAAGCAGTTCTTTTCCTGTGAGTGCGTCATGGCTCGCATTAACTTAGATTCTTATAAAATTTACCGTTTCATTTGGAAAACGTAAACCTGATATTAATCTCCAAAAAATTGAGTTCTGATATATTGTCTTATTTTACTCGTGTTTTTTCTTTCTTGTTTCTGGATTCTTTTACAAACGACAATGATCATTTCTTGAGTCAGTTTTCTTGTAATATGCAGCATGACCATAGTTTTCTTTGCTAAGGAGGGTGAAGAGTGTTGCCTGACTCCAACGAAAGAAAGCTTACTTCCACCTATTGTGATACCTTTTCAACAAGGTTTGGCCCAAAAATTTAAACAAACCCCTGGAACAGGGATAGACTTTTCAATGTTCCAGGAGGCAGAATTGTCGAAAGTTGGTGACATGGATGTGTACCCTCTAGCAGTTAAGACAGAGGCTTCCATAGACAACGAAAATGGAAACTCAGACAGTGGATCCAAGAATTCCCAAATAACCCAGGCTGTGTTCGAGAAGGAGAAAGGTGAATATCAGGTTAGGGTGGTGAAGCAAATATTATGGGTTAATGGCATGAGGTATGAACTACAAGAGATTTATGGGATTGGAAATTCAGTTGAGAGTGATTTTGATGGGAATGATCCTGGAAAAGAATGTGTCATTTGCCTCTCAGAACCCCGAGATACGACCGTCCTGCCTTGTCGACATATGGTACTGTCCTCTCTCTCCCTCCCTCTCATACACATACCGTGACATAGATGCATGCTTGCACTCCAAATTGTCCGTTTTTGGCTGTTTTTCTTATGCTGTTATGATTATTTGAGAGTAGGTTGGTCATTGGTAGCTTGTGAGGTGCATTTATAATTCTGGTCACTTCTTGATGCAGTGTATGTGCAGCGAGTGCGCAAAAGTATTGAGGTTCCAAACAAATAGGTGTCCGATTTGCAGACAGCCAGTGGAGCGGCTTTTGGAGATAAAGGTCAACAATGGGACTGATGAATGAAGAGGATTAGCTGCTTCTGCCTCTGTGCTTTAAAGTTTTTATTTTCTTTTTTTATTTGTGTTTATCCTTTTCCATCTTGTCCTGCCCTTGGTTCCTAGATTTCAATAATCAGATTGAAAATCTCGATGATGTGCAATGTGTCGAAAGTATACCATCGATCTAGTCCACGAAACTGGATATGCTGTAGGTCAATTCCTTGGGAAATGATTTTGCAATGCTTGCGGCATTTCCTCTTGCTCACAATTGTTCAATACAAGATGTATAGATCGTTTGGCTTGCTATTAACCAATTGTTCGAGTTTCGTTATTATTCATATAATTTCTTGTACAATTAATGAATAGACATGACATCTTAGCTACTTGGCCCCTTCATGATCTATAATGGATTACCTTTGGACTCTTGTCCAAAAAGAATTATGAAAAATCTTTCATAATGTAGTTTCCAATGATGTCCTTTCTGAATTTGATAAGGCATAGCTTTTTTTGGGTGGAACTTTTGTTTTTGGGAGTAATGCATATATTTACCCCACCCCTTTTATATTATTTCTTGTGGGTTGGAAAGTACAATTGGTCCATAAAGGCATAAACGAAAGGTTGCAAGCAATGTTGGCGTGGGGTCTATTCACACTCATGTTGTGAATCATGGTTTCCAATATTTGAGGCTACAAAATTTCCTCTTATGCTTTGCTTCTTACTTCAGCAAGGTTAATGTTTGTTTGTGACGCTGACTCAGTTTCTTGAAAATTAAAGCAGAAAGGGTTTGAAGTGAAATTCATGTATGACCATCAGTTTTTCTTCCTTTAGTAGCCCTACCTTAGAGTACCCTTTAGAATATTCGGCCTGCATTTCCCAATTGCCTTCCAGTAATCGAGCAGTGTTGCCCGATTTGTTCTTAGTCCGGTCGCATTGGGTATAATACCACTTCGTGCCTGCTGCACATGTAGATTCTGCAACCCTTTTATGAAAATTATATAGCTATCGAGATAGACCTTATCTTATACTAGTGAAAGAAAATACATTCATTTGCTAAGAAAATTAATTAGTGTATCAAATAAACTATAACAAAAATAAGAAAATTGTTCCGAAGATATGTAATTGAGAAGTAAATGAAAAAAAAATAAAAAAAATCATGTGATATATGAATAGGAATATGATGGTGGATGAGGACATGTGGACAACAAACACATTGATAGATATTCTTAACTCCCCTAGTGTCTAAATGTTCAATGCATAATTAAGGAAGAATTATTCACAAAGAATAAGGAAAGTTTTGAATAGTAATGATGTTGTGTCGGATTAATCTTTATTACTTGAAAACTTTCGACTTCATATTAGCAACAAAGAAATTTTGTACTATTATCTTAGTTTTACTTCGTTCTTTTAAATGGAAATTTCTTGTATGGGCTTGAATGTACACACTCAACGTAAAAACTACAGAATATATCTTCCTCTAAATTAAATAGTTCATAAATTTTATAGGCGCATGTGAGATATTAATAAAATATTGACTCCAGAACATAATTTATGTTTCACAAATAAGGTCCCGTTTGAGCCAAATTATTGTAGTGGAAATTATGCCACACACCTACTTTTCTTTTAATATTTCTGATTTACTATTCATCATTTTATTAACCATAAATACTGCCTTTTGAAGAGTAAAAATAGAAAGTGAAAATGTATCAAAACAATTTAGGACATAGCCAAGATTACTCCTTCAAACACGCCCTTAAATTCATAATGCTTTGAATAAACAATTTAGGACATAGCCAAGTATTTTCATTTTTTTTTTTTGTGACTACTTATCTTGAACAAACCAACGTCGCAAGTCATCATGCTATCGTGTAGTTAGACGCAACCTTTTTTTACGGTTTCCTTTTTATTTTTATTTTTGAGATGTCCAGAAGTAGCTTATAAATTCAGTTATCTCCCCTTAAAAAAAAAAAATCAGTTATCTCATATGCTTGTGTTCTACAATGTGTTCTGGTAATTCCAGATTAGTATGCTATGTTATCAATTTAATAAACAGCTGGGCATATTCTAGTATATATTCTACGTAATTTTCAAGTTCGGACGTTCTTGTAGTTTGTTGAATTTTTTTTGGAGAAGTTTGTTTCACGAATTCTGTATATGTATAGCATGACAAATGTGTGTTTTGTTAATACGTAATGGCATGCTCATGGAAATATCTGCAACTATGTGCTTTCCAATCATCATCATTCTTCTTTCCAAACATTTGATTTATATCTCGTTTTTTTTTTTTGGAGAAGTTTGTTTCACGAATTCTGTTTATGTATAGCATGACAAATGTGTGTTTCGTTAATAAGTAATGGCATGCTCATGAAAATATCTGCAACTATGCGCTTTCCAATCATCATCATTCTTTCTTCTTTCGAAACATTTGATTCATACCTCGTTATATATTTGTAATCTGGAAAAATGATTTCTTTGTTGCTGCTGCAATATATATGTTTGATCGATATCAGAAGTTGATTATATCTGTCTTCGTGTTCCAGATGCCGTAGTGTTTTATGCACCGAAAACCAGCATGATATGGATGCATACGTTCATACACGGAGCCATTTCCCTTTTTCCATTAAATATGGTTTTATGGAAGGTTTTTCATCACAAGACGTAATTAGTGGAATGACATTAATGCACCGGTTACATATTCTTTCATTGGGTTCATTTTTGGCAGCTAGTATTTTGGATGTTTTTAAACTCATGCAAAGTATTTTTAGTTAATAATATATTAACATAGTAAATCCTAAATTAATATATATTACTGATGCATTTGTGAATTTTGGTCATTATTGTAGAATGAGAATGAAAAATATGACCGTTATTGTGGCCCACATAAGAGATAGAAAATTTGAATTTAAATGTTGATGTGATGGATAACGGTCATATTTTTCATTTTAATGAGATAATAATATAGATCAAACGGGGGCTAAATGACTTCAATGCATTCTGACATTTTACAAGCAATTGATTTTATCTAATTACTATTAATAACTAAGTATAAATCTAAATATGTGAGACATTTGCAACTCAACCATAAAAGTTTTTTACAAGAGGGACGTGTCGTTATTTCATTAGACAACTACATGGAGAGAGAAAAATAAAAAACCCATACAAATGCTACCAACACTGCACCTCTCAAAACCACCGTCAATTAACCCGTGCAAACAACATTATTGCAACAATAACTCACAATTGAAAAACAAAAAAAAAATGAAAAATTATGGACACCTTTTCTTGTAATACCCCACACACATACACACACACATATATATAGTGCAGTAGAAGATTGAATATATTCTTATTTCTAGAAGAAACACACACACACAAGATTGTTATTGTATAATTTTAAGAAGATTACATAAATGCCTGCTATAGACTATCTACCAGCTTTTCTCGGGACAATATTCTTAGCTTATTGCATATTATTATTATCTGGTCATGGTACTCGTAAAACGTCGTTAAAATTGTGGCTTCTTTTAATATATTATTTTGTACTTGAAATGCAAAGGATTCGAAGATTACACGGTCATGATCCTCGTAAAACGTCGTTACCTCCTCGTAAGGACCGGAGAAATTTTACCCGAACAATAATAAAGAAATAGGAGAAAATAATATATAGAATAAATATTATTTCATGGTTATCGTTTTGAAAGAATAAAATTAGTTTATTGTGATTTTATTTTGCTTCATTTTCCCCCTTTGAATTCTATGATAATGGAAAACAAACAATTTACGATCAAAGATTTAATAAATAGCATACTGAATCCTGGTTTTTGAGGCTGCGGTATCTTCAAATGAAAATGCATTCTGTATGTTAGCCTTGTAACTTCACAAGAAAGTAGTCGATCGATATGAAATAATTGCTAATCAGCTATTCTCAAGCAAAATTGGCCGTGTTTACAGGGACTCCCAGGAGGCAGAAGAAACAAAATGGTCGAGCTTACTTTCTCAATCTCATGGTGCCTGTGTTAGTTTCATCGCATATGAGTCGACGTCATATGCTAGGTAAATGGCAATAGCAGCATCGATCAATGCAATTACTAATAAAATAGTGCTTTTGCTGTCATTTGTGGTGGTTCCGTTTGTCATTTGTAACTAGAACCGATAACTTTCCCTGGTATCGATGGTTTTTCCTTCAAGCTTGTACTCAACAGAGAATCAGAATTGCTCGGCTGACTTTCTGCAAAACCGGGTCTCATCCAAATCTTTATGTGTCCCTCTCGGGATATTGTAAGAATGGACTCCTGAGTGAATATCAAACCAGTAAGAGGTTCTGTATGAATACGATGAGCAACCAGCGGAGAAAGCTTTGGAATATCTCGCATGCTTGGAGCGGGTCGTAAGGTACCCGGGGGACAAGCACTGTCCCAATGATAAGATTGGCTCCCGGTACTGAAAGTGGGAGATCCCCCAGAAGGACGTCGCACTGGCACTACAAGCTCATCCATTTCTAGATCCCATAAAAGCAATCGAGTGTCCTGCATGACATCCACAAGTTGTTAATATATTGTAAAAGGAAAGAATAAAAACTTCGAAAGTTAATAAATATTGAACGTGTGCGACATATTTCAATTTTTCAATATTACAACTCACGAATTAAGTCCAACAAGTATAAAAATTGGACACAGGAGGCAAAGGCTCCAAGAGAAGTTAACAGTAATCCCAGTAAACATATATGTTTGTTTATATTCCATTATCGTATGAGAAACGAGGGAGACCAACTGGTTGGCAGACTTGAAATTAGGGCATAATAATTGCTTTATGAGCAGGACGAGTGACTTCTCGTTCTGAAGTAAATTAACGATAAAGTACTCGGGAATCCACGTTAAAAACACAATCGTAAATCATGAAATGATGAAGGGTTATTAGACTCGATTCAAAACAGGATGGCCCTCCCCAAAATACATGATTGCGGATTAAAGCAGAATAAATAGCTGCATATGATTTCAGTTTTAAAATGACCACATTCATAACTGAACT